GCAACACTTCAGTTTCAAAAGGAATGCAGAACTTATAACGCCCTAATAAGAAGACAACCTAACTAAAAAGTGAGCAAAGGATTTTATAGACATTTCTTCAAAGAAGATGTACAAATGGATAAGCACTTGAAAAGCACTTGAAAAGATGCCGGATATCATTGAGTCATTAGGAAAATGCAAATCAGGCAACCTTAAATTTGTGAATTATGTTGTATGTGAATTACATCTCAGTAAAGCTTTTTTAAAAAAGGAAGCTCAGGATAAAAGGACATTTGGGATGTCGAGAGAAACTTGAAAGTAATAGAGGAAAGTAACAGAGAGAAAGAATATAGCAGCAGACTACTGCTTGTAAACCTCTACCCCGCAGCTGAGTCTCCAATATATTATAATTCGCTTGATCTGTATTTGAATAGCGGTATTTTCTACTATCTATCTTTGGAGTATGATTTCAAGTCAATTTTTAAAAATATATTGGGCACACAAAAACATAGAATTAAAGATATTTTGTTCTCGTGTTTTGTTCATATTATAGCTTTCACATGTTTGACTAAGGATACATTTTGCTATTCTCTTGGTCTTCAAATAGAGTTACTATTTAAAAATATACTCAACAGAATGGCAAATACCTAAAAAAAATAAAAAATAAAAAAAATAAAATAAAATAAAATAAAAATATACTAAAAATATAGCAGGTCATATATAAGAAAGAAGATAGGTTGTTTGGGTAAATTTTTCTAAACCCAGGCCAACCAACTTATTTCCAGATTAAAGATCTGAATCCCAGTTAATAAGGTGATTTTTTTCCTTTTATTTTGCAAATAATGTTAATACTGTTCTTTTCATTTTATAGATTGCTTGCTGAGGCAATTGTTCTTTTTACATCTGGTCAAGAGGAAGTTACTCTTGCCGTGACTCCACTGAATTTTTGTCTCAAGAGTTCTAATGAGGAATCAATGGGTAAGGGTCCTCTGTCATGGTGCTTTGATTGATTATTCCTTCCTGGCTCTCTTGATCACTAACCGTACGTACAGTAAATATAAGTGGCACAATATTTATTCTTGTCTAAAAAGCAGTAAGATGTAGAAAGGTCAGAAACATTTTTAAGAGATCCAGAAAGTTTAACACAATCAGTAATTAAAATATTTGGCTTTGAAATTCAGGTTGTTTTGAAATCATAAGAATGGTTACAGAGAAAAATATATTTTCAATTAAGATTTTAAGATCTATTGCTCATTCTTTACCATCCTCTGTGTTTAGTATAAAGAAAAATTAAGAGGCCACCAATTCCATTGAGATGATTTAGATGACATAAGAAAAAGCAACTTAGAATTAGAAATGGAATATATATTCCAGATGGCAAATATATAGGGCAGAAAATGCAAATGGTCTCTTAAGTCTGCTCTTCTAAGAGTTACCTAGATGGAATGGAGAAACTGAGGCACAATTAAATCAGGAGAGTTTTGATATCAAGAAAATTTGCTAGGATCTTTTGGCATCACAAGCTGTTTGAGACTCTTTGCCCTGGAAAATTTGTTTTCGGTGGTGATAGCAATGAAGAGAAAATACAGGGAAGGAACTGCAATATTTTAAAGTGAAAAATCAGTGGAACCAGGGCTTAAGTTGGGTCAGATGACTGTTGTAGTGTTTACTTTGTGCCAGGTTCTATTCTAAGTCATTTACATTTATGAATTCATTTAATCTTCGTAACAACTGTATGACGTAGGCACTGTTACTATCCCCATTTTACACATGAAGAAGTTAAAGCCCAGAGAAACTATGTGGCTTGCCTGGTGTCCCGCAGTTAGCAAGTAGTGGATTATGATCTGAATACATAGTGGGCTCCAGGCGTAGGCTTGTTAACACTGTGCTTTCATCGTTTCTCTCAAGGCTCATCCAGCATTCTTTTTGGCCCACAGGAGGGCATGATCTGGAAAATATATGCTTGGCTAGTGAAAGGGTCTGTTTTATGTTCCATCATGCCATCTCTCAATAAAGATGGCCATTTAGTAACTAGGAGACACTATCTCTGTGACTAGCTTCCTAATGAGTAGTTATAGCTATGCCTGACTGGGGACCCAATTATCTAATCTTACTATTGAATTTCTTCTCTGTTAACATACTGGGAGTGACATGAATCTTCTTGTTTGAGATTAATGTATATTTACAATTATTGTGTGATCCTTTTAAAAAATATATCATTTAACTTTCATTCTTTTTTTTTTAGACAGAGTCTTGCTTTGTTGCCCAGGCTAGAGTGAGTGCCGTGGTGTCAGCCTGGCTCACAGCAACCTCAAACTCCTGGGCTCAAGCAATCCTGCTGCCGCAGCCTCCCGAGTGGCTGGGACTCCAGGCATGCGCCACTATGCCCGGCTAATTTTTTATATATATATTAGTTGGCCAATTAATTTCTCTTTATTTATAGTAGAGACAGGGTCTTGCTCTTACTCAGGCTGGTTTTGAACTCCTGACCTCGAGTAATCTGCCCACCTCGGCCTCCCAGAGTGCTAGGATTACAGGCATGAGCCCCCATGCCCGGCCTTAACTTTTGTTCTTACTACTTACATAATTCATGTTCATTGATGAAAATTAAAAATATGAGGACTTATTTATTTTTTAGAGACAGAGTCTCTTGTCACCAAGGCTGGAGTGCAGTAGCGCTATCATAGCTCACTGCAGCCTCCAGCTCTTGGGCTCAAGTGATCCTCCAGCTTCAGCCTCCCAAATAGCTAGGACTACAGGCACATGCCAGCATGCCTGGCTAGTTGTAAAAATTTTTTGTAGAGATTGGGCTTGTTTTGTTCCAGGCTGGTCTTGAACTCCTGGGCTCAAGTGATCCTCCCACCTCAGCCTCTGAAAGTGCTGGGATTACCGGCATGAGCCAGTGTACCTGGCAGCACCTTTTTTTTTGGGGGGGACAGAGTCTCAGTCTGTTGCCCTGCTAGAATGCAGTGGTGTCATTGTAGCTCAAGTGATCCTCCTGCCTCAGCCTCCTGAGTAGCTGGGACTAAGGTGCACACCACCATGCCTGGCTAATTTTTCTATTTTTAGACACAGGGTCTTACTGTTGCTCAGGCTGGTCTCAAACTCTTTTTTTTTGAGACAGAGTCTCGCTTTGTTGCCCAGGCTAGAGAGAGTGCCGTGCATCAGCCTAGCTCACAGCAACCTCAGACTCCTGGGCTCAAGCGATCCTCCTGCCTCAGCCTCCCGAGTAGCTGGGACTACAGGCATGTGCCACCATGCCCGGCTCATTTTTTCTATATATTTTAGTTGGCCAATTAATTTCTTTGTATTTATAGTAGAGACGGGGTCTCGCTCTTGCTCAGGCTGGTTTTGAACTCCTGACCTCGAGCAATCCACCCGCCTCGGCCTCCCAAAGAGCTAGGATTACAGGTGTGAGTCACCGGCCCGGCCATAACTTGGACTTTACATGGCATGTGGCTGAGTTCTAACAGTGAATGTTGCAGGGACAGGAAGCACAGGCTGCCAGTCTCTTAAGCCTAGGCCCAGAGACTGCCACAGTGTCACTTGGCTTATTGGTCAGAGCAGTCATAAAGACCACCCAGATTCAAAGGAGCAAACCTAGACGTAGACCCACCTCTCAATAAAGAATGTCAAATAATTTTGGCTAGATTTAATCGACCACTATGGTTATATTTTGTATAAAATTAACAAATAACCTCTGGAACTAATTTTATTGTTTTTTTTCTTATAATATTAAGCAGATTTGACAAATTCTGTGTACAGCGAGATGGTTGTTGCCCGAAGAGTTTGACTTCTTTCAAATTGGAGTGGACACTGAAATAACATTTTGCTTCAAGGAATTGAAAGTAAACAAATATGTGCATTAAATTAAAATTCAGATTCACTTGTTTTAATAAAGATTTCAAGGGTTTTTTTCTTCTTTTCTTCTTTCAGGGAATGCTGACATTTTCAGAAGCTACACATGCTCCTATATCTATTCATTTTGATTTTCCTGGAAGTAGGTCCTTGGGAACTTTTCTGAGTTTGCTTCTTTCTTTTGTTATATATGAATAATAAAGCCTTTGTTCATTTTGAAATTGACTAACACCTCAGGAATTCCTTAACTTCCTAGCAACACTTATCAAACTAAATTTGAAGATGCCGTTAACATTGGCTTTTTAAATTGGTAACTTGATAGAGATATATTCTTCTTCAGAGTGAAACATTATAAATTTCACATGTAATAATGTTAATGAAAGATCATGGTTAATAAATCTCTATGAAACTATATACTGATATTTCAGAACTAAAATTTAAATGAGATTAGGTTAAGATATGTTGTATAAAATCAGATCTGATGATTTCTAAGGATCCTTTCAGCTTTCAGGATTGCATTAATTTGTGAAAACCAAAAAGAATGTCTACTACTGTTTCTTTTTTTTTTTTTTTTGAGACAGAGTCTCACTCTGTTGCCCGGGCTAGCGTGCCGTGGAGTCAGCCTAGCTCACAGCAACCTCAAACTCCTGGGCTCAGACGATCCTCCTCTGTCTCAGCCTCTGAAGTAGCTGGGACTACCGGCATGCGCCACCATGCCTGGCTAATTTTTTCTATATATATTAGTTTGCTAATTAATTTCTTTCTATTTATAGTAGAGACGGGTCTCGCTCTTGCTCAGGCTGGTTTCGAACTCCTGACCTTGAGCAATGCGCCCGCCTCGGCCTCCCAGGGTGCTAGGATTACAGGGTGAGCCATCACACCGGGCCCTGGCTAATTTATATATGTATAAATTTAGTTGTCCAGCTAATTTTTTTCTATTTTTTTAGTAGAGATGGGGTCTTGCTCTTGCTCAGGCTGGTCTCAAACTATTGAGCTCAAACATTCTGCCCGCCTCAGCCTCCCAGAATGCTAGGATTACAGGCATGAGCCACCACACCCAGCCCTACTGTTTATTTTAATCCAGAACTACGTATCATTTTCTAATGTGTTCCTAATGTCCACCAGAAAATGAGTGTTATTTTTCTCTGACTTTGCCTTTTTAGGCCGATGGCTTTAAGTATTGATGATATGCTAGTGGAAGCTAACTTTATTTTGGCTACATTAGCTGATGAGCCAAGTAGGGCATCTTCGCCACAATCCCTGTGCCTTCCACAGAAGCGAAAATGGTAAGGCTGTGTTTTAACTTCTTTATTGGTTGGGAAAAGCCATCACAGTCTTATTCTGAAATAATTCAGTGGCATTCACTTAGGAAACAGCTAAGGAATGAAACATTAGATCAGAACTTTTGACAGAATCTGGAGGAGCTGTAGTGATGAGGTCTAACTGCAGCATAGAGACATTACCGATTTTGAATCAGATGTTTGCTTTTTCTCTTCTGACCAGAATTTAACAGGACTGTCTGGTTTATCTGTGTTGTTACCCAAAATTCATTTCTAATTTTTAGTTGTTTTTTTTTAGGAGTGATAGTGTTAAGTTTCACAGGAAAGTCTATATTTACTCCCTAGAACTTTTCCTCAGATATAGAGATAGCTATTGTTTTTCTTTCTTCTTCTTCTTTTTCTTTTTTTAAGAGGCAGGATTTCACTGTTTTGTCATCCAGGCCGGAGTGCAGTGGCACGATTATAGCTCACCGTAACCTTGAAGTGCTGGGTGATCCTCTTGCCTTAGCCTCCCAAGTAGCTAGGACTACAGGCACCTGGCTAATTTTAACATTTTTTGTAGAGATGGGGTCTCATTATGTTGCCCAGGCTGTATTTTATTTTATTTTTCTTAATAACTTTTTTGGAGGGAAGGGCTGCTTTATTGTAAGTAAAACAAAGTTACTGTGGGAAATTTGTAAAATAGAGAAAAGTACAGAAGAAAATAAAACTTACCCTTAAATGAACCACCCAGAGAAAGCTATGATGAACTTTTTGGCTCATTGTATTTTCTTTCAGATTTTTTATTTTGCATATATTTATTTATTTATTTTTTGAGACAGAGTCTCACTTTGTTGCCCTGGCTAGAGTGAGTGCCGTGGCATCAGCCTAGCTCACAGCAACCTCAATCTCCTGGGCTCAAGAGATCCTACTGCCTCAGCCTCCCAGGTAGCTGGGACTATAGGCATGCACCACCGTGCCCGGCTAATTTTTTGTATATATATTTTTTTGGTTGGTCAATTAATTTCTTTCTATTTTTAGTAGAGACAGGGTCTCGCTCAGGCTGGTTTCAAACTCCTAACCTCAAGCAATCCGCCTCCCTCAGCCTCCCAGAGTGCTAGGATTACAGGCATGAGCCACCGTGCCCAGCCGCATATACTTATATTTTAAACAAGATTGGGATCATATAACTATCCTTTTTTTCCCCCATAAATATATTGTAGGCTTGGTCTAATATCACCAATTATGACAGAAAAACATGATTTTTAATGACTGCATAAAATTTTGTCATTTATAATTTATTTAACTTTTTTTTAAACTTGGTCCTATTATCCTATCACAAGATCTCCTAGTCATATTTGGTTGCTTTACTGAAAGATTCAACTCTGTCAAAAGAATTTCTAAATTATCATATATATAAATGTTAACTTTCAATAATTAGTTCCATGTTATTTCAATACATTCCTTAAACCCGTGCTGTCATTGTCATCCCACATTGCTACATTAGTTATATAAAAAATATATTTCAAAGCAAGCAGTTCATTTATTTAATCCCTGTTAATACTTCAGGTCAGATGGGATGCAGTCAGATTCAAAGGCTGATGAAAATGTAACCAGCCAGGCCCTGGAGTGTATCTCGAGAAAAGCGGCACCCAAAAGGCTTTATCCTGATGAGACTTTCACAAACAACTCTACGTTGGGAAACTGTGGCAGCTCTATAATGGAGAGAGCAACTGGAGACATCAGTGAAGTACCGGAAAGCAGTGTCAGTGACACAGAGGAAGTGCCAGGGTCTCCATATCTCAGGAAGGTAAAAACTAAGTGTTGAGACACAACCACATCTCAGTCAAGAATTCTCATCATCTGCCTCCGTTCGCAATCTCCCTGCCCTAGCCCACTCCTAACATCCTGAAAATCAATTTTCTTATTTTTTGATAGAGAAATTATGAAGCTAGTCTTAGATGGAGGAAAGTCTAATTTATAGAATAGCAACAGAAAATAGTTAAATTGCTCAGTCAGTTTCTAACAAAGAAAGCGTATTCAAGTAGAGATTTAGGTCACTTATATTTAAGAATAAATAGTGATTATTTATTGTATATCTTTGAATACAGGTAATATACTAAAGTTATATAAATAATGTTTCCTGAAATAAGTTTTCTTCTAATTTTATTTTTCAAATTTGATTGAGAAATGCTTTATTCATAATAGTATAAATGTAAATGCCATCCCAAAAAATATCACAGATTTCTTCATAATGGCATACCCGTTAATAACATTTGGTGATATTACCAACATTTTGCTAGATAGATAATAAGCTTCACAAAATACTATGCTGTTAGACCTTATGAAATCTATTGAATTGAATGTAAACATAATTTATTAGAAGCTTCCAAAATATCTCAAATATTGATAATCCCAATTTTACATGTTTAATGTTTTATTCAGACTAGTTTTGCTATTGCTATTATTAGGGATTTGGAAATACGAGTTTCTTAGAATTAAAAATTTGAAAGGAGAAATAATATTTTTAGAATTCACCATCTTATGCTATATATGACTTTTGGGGCAGAATTGGATGGTAAACTCAATTTAATCATTTTGACACCATAAGTGTTTATTGAGTACCTGTTGTATGCCCAACACTTAGGGCAATTTTCTTGTATATTACTAGGTTGGCCTAAAGTGAAAACTGAAATCTGTGTTCTCATTATACAAAAGCATTTACCTCTCCTGTTTTTTTTGCCAAACGTATTGTGCTTACTTTTTCACAGGCAACAACAGGAAATCATTTTCCTGCTACTCCAGGTCCCTGAAATTCTCTAAGGTTGACAGTTTCTTCACTGGGGAAAGTGACATTCAGAATCATAAGCTCCATGAGCACCATTACAGTACTCTTTACTCCAATTGCCTGTACTATGGCTAAATTCTAAAAAGAAGGCTCTATTTTTAAAGGGAATTATTTGCCTTAATGTGACAAATTCCTGCAAAGCTGAAATTACATTATGGGTAAATGATGTAGACCCTGATCAAGTTCCACCTGAACTACTATGGCCTCCCGCCTGGCCTCCCAGCCTCCATCCTCCCCACACGCTGGCTGTTCCCACTGTGGACCATAGATTTTGTCCAAACCTTAGATCTACCATGAGACACGGGGATTAAGAGCATTGGCTCTAGAGTTCAGCTTCCTGGGTTCAAACCTCCCTCTTGCCACTTACTAGCTTTGTGATTTGGACAAGTTACTTATCTTTGCCTCTGTTTATTAGTAAAATGGGGATTATATGCCCATTAAATGGAATTGTGAAAATTAATTGAGCTAATAGATGTACCTAGCACATAGTTGTGCTCAATAAATGTTAGTTATTATTGTTATATATCACTCTCCTGCTTCTAAAACTCTTAGATTATGATGCTTCTCCCATAAGATTAAGCCAAAACTCCTTGGAATGGCATTCAGGGGCTTTCCCTGGGGTATTAATAACATCTTCACATGGCTTCTTCCTTTTCTCCCCACACCACCATATAAAACATACCCTATGGCAGGAATCGCAGATAGGTTTCCTCTCTGGGACCCACACCAGTCATTTGGTTGGTCAGGCTGTGTTGAGAATGACTCCAAAGCTCTATCTCTACTTGACTAGCAGGGTCTGCCATGCACACTGAAGGCTGCTTGTCCTTGAACCAGACTAAACCTATAGCCATTATAATGCTAGTAACATTCTTATCGTAATATGGCCCACCCTATTTGTTTGCTCATTTGTTAACTAGTCTTTTAAAAATAATTTCAGACTTTTAAAAAGTTGTCAAAATAGTACACAAATTTCTATATACCCTTCTTCCAGACTTTCCAAATGTTAACATTTTGTATAACAGTACAACTACCATTTCATTAAAGAAAAATCAGAAAATACAAATAAGAGATCAAAGATAATCACTTCAAATATTTTGATTATTACTCTACCTTTTAAGACTTTTTCTATGCATATACACATACGCATATGCACATGAAATTTTAATTAAAAAAAATTTAAAATATAAATTCAGACTCACTTACAAAAATAGTACAAACCATTCTCATATACCCTTTACCCAGTTTCCTCAAATGTTAATATCAGCTGGGCATGGTGACACATGCCTGTAGTCCCAGATATTTGGGAGGATGAAGCAGGAGGATCACTTGAGCCCAGGAGTTTGAGGCTGCAGTGAGCCGTGATTGTGCCACTGCACTCTACCCTGGGCAACAGAGCAAGACTCTGTCTCTTAAAAAAAAAAAGATAATATTTTAGGTTAGCAGAGTCTCCTTGAATCTGGAACATTTCTAAATCTTGCTTTGTCTTTTTCTACTTTGACACTTTAGTACAATGTCCCTGATTTTGGATTTTTCTGACATTTCTTCATAATTATATATATATATATATATTTTTTTTTTTTTTTTTTTTTTGAGACAGAGTCTCGCTTTGTTGCCCAGGCTAGAGTGAGTGCCATGACGTCAACCCAGCTCACAGCAACCTCAAACTCTTGGGCTAAAGCAATCCTGCTGCCTCAGCCTCCCAAGTAGCTGGGACTACAGGCATGCGCCACCATGCCTGGCTAATTTTTTCTATATGTATTAGTTGGCCAATTAATTTCTTTGTATTTATAGTAGAGACGCGGTCTCGCTCTTGCTCAGGCTGGTTTTGAACTCCTGACCTCTAGCAATCCGCCCGCCTCGGCCTCCCATAGTGCTAGGATTACAGGCATGAGCCACCTCGCCTGGCCCATAATTATATTTTAATTATGCATTTTCGTGAGAATGCAACAGCGTGGTTTTGGGTTCTTTTTATGTCTGGAGACATACATTGGAGCTTTGTCTCCTTATTTGTGGTGTTCACTTCTGTCATGTGGTTAAGGTGACATCTGCTAGCTCTCTGTGCTGTCAAGCTACTGTTTTTCTGTTGGTAAGAATCTCGTAGGGAGATACTTTGAGACTATGTAAATATCCTGTTTCTCATACTTTTTACTTTTTTTTTAGAATCCATTGATGCTTTTGTCAGAAATAATTATTACTGTGATGTTTGCCAAAATGGTGATTTTCCTTTCTTTTATTTTTTCTCTGTCGGATCTATTATTTTTTTCTGTATTAATTAGATGAAACCCTACTTTAAGAAAGGCCTTCCCCTTCTCTCCCCTTTGTTATCCAGTTATTTCTTTATATTACTGTGTACTCTTAGATATTCATTTTATCCTATGGGTCATAATCCATTACTATCATTATTTATTTTCTTGCTCAAAATGCTCCATATTTGGCCACTAGGAGCCTCTTTGGGTTGGGTTTGTGTCCCTTTGATATGTCTCCAACATTTTTTGAGCACCTCCTTACTTTTTGGAACCTTCAGGTATTGTAGGCTTATTTTGTACTTCCCCTGCCCAGCCTTGGAATCAGCCATTTCTCCTAGGAGTCCTGGTTCCTTTTATTGGAGATGATAGAGAGCAACTTCTAGGTGTCAGGTGTACGCTTTTGTACTGGGGTTTCATTGCTTCTGAGCCCTTTCAGCAGCCACAGCTAGTAAATATATATATGTGTGTGTGTTGATATATTTATTTATACACACACACACACACTTAATTTTTTAGAGACAAGGTCTTACTCTGTCACCCAGGCTGGAGTGCAGTGGTGCAATAATAGCTCACTGCAGCCACAAACTCCTTGGATCGCTCGAGCGATCCTCCTGTCTCAGCCTGCCCAGTAGCTGGGACTACAGGCGCATGCCACCACACCTTGCCAATTTTTAAAATTTTTGTAGAGATGAGGGTCTTGCTATGTTGCTGAGGCTGGTCTTGGAAGTCCTGGTCTCAAACGATCCTCCCAAAATGCTGGGATTACAGTGTGAGCCAGCACACCTGGCCTGGTTTATCTCTTTTATTTTTTCCCAATAGCTGTGTTGTATTCCAATTGTGAATGTACCGTAGTTAATTCAACCATTCTTCTCTTTGTGGGTGTTTAGATTTTCCCCTCAGTACTCTGCAATAATAACCTTTTACATGTTTTTTCTTTTTTTTTTTTTTTTTTGGACAGAGTCGTCGGTTGTTTCCAGGCTAGAGTAAGTGCCGTGGCGTCGACCTAGCTCACAGCAACCTCAAAACTCCTGGGCTCGAGGGATCCTTCTGCTCCAGCCTCCCGAGTAGCTGGGACTACAGGCATGCCCATCGCTGGTAATTTTATATATATCAGTGCAATTAACTTTTTTATGTAGAGACGGGTCTCGCTCTTGCTCGGCTGGTTTTGACTCGACCTTGAGCACGCACCGCCCGGCCCCAGGCTAGGTTGGCGTGAGCCACCGCGCCTGGCCTACATGTTTTTTCATATTGTCCAAAGAGTATCTTCAGAGTAAACTGCTGACAGTGGGACAGCTGGTTCAGAAAGCGACTGCAGATGTAGTGTTGTGAGGTTCTGCCAGATTCCCCTCCAGAGGGGCTGTGCCAGTTTGCACTCCCTGTGTGGAGAGGAGTGCCCTTCCCATCATAGCCTGGCAAATAGTATTTGTCAAACTTTAAAAAAATATTTTCCAAACTGATAGTTGGGTATCTCAGTGTAGGTTTCTTTTTTTTTGTTTTTTGTTTTTTTTTTTTTAAAGAGAGACAAGGTCTCACTATGTTGTCCAGGCTGGTCTCAAACTCCTGGGCTCAGGCAGTCCTCCCACCTCAGCCTCCTGAATAGGTGGGACTACAGGTGCTAGCAACCACACCAGCTCAGTGTGGTTTTTTTATTTCTCTGTGAGTTTAAGCATCTTTTCCTATGTTTAAAGGCCATTTTATAACTTTTGTGAATTGTTTATTCATGTCTCTTCCCATTTTTCTGTTGGGTTTTTATGGGCATTCTTTATATATGGGGATATTAGCTATTTGTCTATATATATGGTGCAAATATGTTCTCCCACTTTGTCAGTTGTATTTTAAGTGTTTTTTTGCCATGAAAACAATTTTCATTTTATATAGTCCAATTTATCAATTTTTAAAAAATTGTCAGTGGTGCTGGGTGCAGTGGCTCATGCCTGTAATCCCAGCACTTAGGGAGGCCAGGAGTTCGAGATCAGCCTTAGCAGCGTGGTGAGACCTCACCTCTACAGAAAATAGAAAAATTAGCCAGAGGTGGTGGCACATGCCTGTAGTTCCAGCTACTTGGGAGGCTGAGGCAAGATCACTTGAGGCCAGGAGGTTGAGGTTGCAGTGAGTGATAATGACATCACTATATTCTAGCCTAGGCAACAAAGCAAGAAAGATCTTGACTGAAAAAAAAAAAGAAAAAAAAAATGTATTAGCTGGGCATCATGGTGTATGCCTGTTCCTAGCTACTTGGGTGGCTGAGGTGGGAGGATCACTTGGAGCCCAGAAGTTCGAGGTTGCAGTGAAGTATGATTACACCACTGCACTCCAACCTGGGTGACGGAGTGAGACCCTATCTCTAAAAAAACAGGAATTGTCAGTAGTTAGAAAGCTTTTCCCAACACGGCATTTATTTTGAGACACAGTCTCACTCTCTTGCTTAGGCGAGTGCCATGGCCTCAGCCTAGCTCACAGCAACCTCAAACTCCTGGCAGCAGTCCTCTGCCTGAGCCTCCCGAGTAGCTGGGACTACAGGCATACGCCACCATGCCTGGCTAATTTTTTCTATTTTTAGTATAGACGGGGTCTCGAACTCCTGAGCTCAAGTTGTACCTCCCAACTTGGCCTCCCAGAGAGCTAGGATTACAGGTGTGAGCCATCATGCCCAGCTTCAACATGGAATTTAAAGGGGAATTCACCCATGTTTCCTTCTAGAACTTATAGGTTCCTACACCTGATCTTAGGCTGGTCCGAAGGTAGTGAGTTATCTCACTTGATTGTTCACAGTTACAGATTGAACTTGCACTACTACTTTCCCCCTCCTCACTACTGCACTTGACTAGTCTTAAAAAAAAAAAAATAAACCTGATTATAGATTAGAGGGGGTATAGGGAGGGTAACAGGACTAGGGTCTAAGATATAAAATAAAATAGTCACATTATTAAATATCTGGTAAGTTTTTAAAAAGCTGTTGGTATGTTCAATAAAGGAAAAGTTCAGGGTGCTTTGAGAGGATTTATGGTATGTACTGCCCTAATCCAAGAGGTCAGAAAGTCTTCCCTTTCAAACTGTGGTTTGAGCGGAGGTGGAAGGATAAAGTAGTGGGTGTGGGAGGAGGAGCCTCGGGAGGGAGTGTGGTGGTTTTAAGGAACTGAGAGGTGGCCAGTGTGGTTGGAGATCAGACAGCTAGAGGGTGACAACAGCACACAGTGAAGCTAGAGCAATAGGTGAGTGCCAAATCACACTGGGGGAGTTCCATAAGCCATGTATATGGCCATGTGAAGTGCGCTGGTATTTAAAGTATTTGGAAGGTTTTAACAGGGAGGCCTGACAGAGTTGAATGTTTCCAAGATAACTTCAGCTGCAGCCGCTGTGTGAAAAATGGGGTGCAGTGAGGCAAGAATGCCCCCCCCCACCCCGCTGTAGCATCTGGGAGATGGGGATTCCTCAGGAGAAATGGAGATAAGCAGCTGAGGTAGACAGTTAATTTAGGAGGTTAAACTGGCAGGACTCGGTAATGGATTGGTTATGGGGGTTAAAAAGGAGGTACCAAGGGTGACTTAGTTTTGGAGAACCAGGTTCAAGACTTACTGAGTTCGGTTTTGGGTATGTTAAGTTGCAGAAAGCAAGTAGGAAGTAGAGTCTGTGGGCTGCCGTTCAAATTCTAACTTGAAACTCCCTGGCATATAGATGATCATTTCAGCTGGGGGTGTGGATGAAATCTCTTAGACAGACAGACAGAGGGAGAAGACTGCCATCACTGAAGCAGTGGTTCTCAACCAGGGGTGATTATACACCCCAGGGGAACTCAGGAGATGTCTGGATACATTTTGGATGTCACAACTCAGGAAGGGGGTGCTACTGGCATCTAGTGGGTAGAGATCAGTGATGCTGCCCACTGTCTTCCAATGCCCAGGACAGTCCTTACAAGGAATCATAAGGCCTCAAATGGCAGTAGTGCTCAGGTTATGAAACCCTGGTTCAAAGACAGGTTAGAAGAGGGCAAAACATAGCTTGGCATGGTGGCTGTAGTCCCAGCTACTCAGGAGGCTGAGGCAGTAGAATTGCTTGAGCCCAGGAGTTTGAGGTTGCTGTGAGCTAGGCTGATGCCGGTAAACCAGCTGAGCCAAGAGCAGCCAGGAAGCCAGGAGAGTTGTGGCAGGAGGAAGGCACGAGAGGAAGTGTCACAGTGAATAGCAAATAGGGTGAAGACTGAAAATAGGCACTGACTTTAAGGATGTGGCAAATACTGGTGACCATAACAGTTTTGGTGATGTTGGGAGGCCAGAAACTTTTTTAGATAGGGCTGGAGAGCAGGAGAATGAGAAAATGCAGACAGTGAAGTGTAGACACCTCTATAGGGGAGATAAGGCAATAGCTGGAGGAAGGAATGGGATGAGGTCAGATTATTTCTGTATTTTAAAGATGAGAGACAGTTGAGCATTTGAAAATGCTAATATTCCTGTCCAGTAGGAGAGGTGTGGGAGTGGCTGGGATGCAGAGGCAGGCAGGGTGGGAAGGACTGGCTGTCTTTTGGAAGTAAGGGCAGCTTCTGCCCTAGCAGGAGGGGGAGGGAGAAGACTGCTTGGTTCACCCACAACAGCCTGCAGAGGCTCCCTTTGTCTGCCCCTCACAGTCCTGGTGGAAGTTTTGACGCCACAAGGCTGGCACAAACTGAAGATTGTCTTGTGCCTTTGAAGTCAGGGAAAGGTTTGCTTTCAGGATGAGTTGGGCCAATAATGAAGGTTCTGGGTGTTCCATCGCCAACAAAGACAGGGATACCACACCAGCCAGGTTTCTGAAAGGAGCTGTCACCTGGAGCATTTAATGAGCAAACTTTCACTTTGGAATCAACAATGCAGTTACTTTTTTCCCTCCAGTTTTCTTGCATGTTCTTTGGAGCAGTTTCTTCTGACCAGCAAGAACACTTCAACCACCCTTTCGACAGCCTGGCAAGAGCAAGTGACAGTGAAGAGGACATAAATAACAGCAGTTTCTTCACATTCTAATGCTTAAGGATAGCTGAGTTGACCCCCAGCCCAGTGACTGGCTCACTTGCACCTCAAGCACAAGCTTTCACATTTAGTGTGTAAGAAATGTTGTCCTGGACTTCCTTGAAATGGAGGACGGGCTTCTGCTTTTCTAAACATCATCTTGTACAACCACCATATCTAGAAATAGCTGCTTGTCAAGTGTATGTAATTAGCTTTAAATCCATTATGCTACTTGGGAGCCAGAAGAGTTTTCTGTGCAGGAAAAAAGCCCATTAGAGTTCTTCAATTCAATGCACGTTCCCCCAAGAGCTTTTAACATTTTCTTTGCCAGTTTTATAAAGGTATTTAAGCTTTCTTCGGCAGCCATTTCAAGTGCTTCAGGATGGCTTGCAACAGAGTTCTGCGATTAGTAGTCAGGTGTCTTTTGTATTGCCAACATTTGGGTTTTAGTACTTTCAGAGATAGCAAAAAGTTATGCGGTCTTTCCTCATGTAATACCATGACTTTTCTGTCCATTGTTTTTAACATTTTAAGTAACCCCTGGAAAAAAGATCAAGAATAAAAATACAGTTACTCCTCACTTTGTTGTTTTTTTATATATTGTATAATTTTATTTCATAGCTTTAAATTGTTCTGATTTTCAGATGTGATTTTTTTATTTTGCAGTGTGATGCAGAAAAGAATTTAATGGAAGTGATGCCAAATATTTCTATATTTTCTGATGTAGAACAGCAACCTCCACTGCCAAGAAAGCCTGGGTTTGGAATGGAATGAGGTGTAAGACAAATGTCTCTGCTCTTTGGCCCTTTAAGAATTAGCTTTTACCTGCACAAATGGACTAAAAATTCTGGCACAAAAACATCATTATGTAATATCTTACTGTGTGTGTGCCTTTCCCTCCCCCAAACCTGTTTACAGTGAACTATAACCTGACAAAAGAGACTTCTGTAATATCTCATTGTTAAGTCTTGTGAAACCATCAAACCCTAAGGAAGTGTTCACTGGCAAGCAATTGTACTTTAGATTTTGTGAGAAATTCATAAAGGTGGGTGACTGGATTAGTATGCTTTAGAATGGAATAGAATTCTCACTGAAACCAGAATGAATTTGGCTCTTGTAGCTTAGTAATGAGTCATAGCTACCTACAATAACCTAATAAAAACTCAACTTCATCCCAAGATGTTCCTCAGTGAATGAAAATGGGCTTTCACAAAGCTTTTTGTGGAAACTGGCAATGCCCACATAATTTCAACTAAGTCCTTTCACACTGTAGGATGAAGATATTTACATATCTTATGCTTACACTGATGATTAACACTGAATTTCGGATATTCCTAAGACATACAGATGACTACATAGAGTTTGTTTCTTTTCTTTTCTTTTTTTTTAGGCAGAGTCTTGCTCTGTTGCCCAGGTTAGAGTGCAGTAGTGTCTTCATAGTTCACAGCAACCTCAAACTCCTGGGTTCAAGTGATCCTCTTGCCTCAAACTCCCGAGTAGCTGGGACTACAGGCACGTGTCACTGTGGTCAGCTAATTTTTTTTACCTTTGTTAGTGACGGGGTCTCCCTCTTGTCAGGCTGGTCTGGAACTCCTGACCTAAAGCGATCCTCCCGCCCTGGCCTCCCAGAGTGCCGGGATTACAGCTGTGGACCACCATGCCTGGTTGACAAAGAGTTTTTATATACAAGAGTAATGCTGTAGGTCTCCTTACCGTGGATGAAGTTTTCCATTTCATTTCCAGGTCTTGAAAGCATCATCAGTAACAACCTGATTATACTGTTAAATTATATACACTTTGGATTTTAGAACCCAGATACAAGAGTGCTAGGTTTAAATAAAACCGTGCACTGTGTAACTTTTCAGTCAACAGACCACACAGATGACAGTGGTCCTGTAAGATCATAATGAAGCTGACCCTATATAGGTGTACATCTTAATCTTTTATTTATATCATATTTTTACTGTACCTTTTCTATGTTTTGACACATAAATCTTTACCATTGTGGTGTTACTGCCTACAGTATTCAGTACAGTGACATCCTGCACAGGTTTGTAGCCTAGGAGCAATAGGCCTAGGTGTGTAGTAGGCTATCCCGTTTAGGTTTGTGTAATTCACTCTATGATGTTCACACAGTGACTCTATGTTGCTTACCCACGTTTCTCTGAACATCTCTCTCCTGCTAAGTGAGGTGTGACCATACACCAGATTTTTTGGGTAGCTTCACTCTGTACTGTTTGGTAGGTGCAAAGCCTCAGCTGGGAAAACCTCTATATTTTATGTTCAATTGTCAGTCTGTTTTAATGAATTTTTGAGGAAGCTAAGTGATGTAGTAAACCAGCTGGTGAAAAAGGGCTTAAGGCAGTTACAGTAATGGACGGAAAACAACAGCTCTGAAGTACAGATTCACTGCCAAATTGACATGAGGACTTGATAGAGACCAACGAACCCAATATCAAGGGCTGGTGTCTTATTTAGTTACTATTCAAACCAAAAGGAACATACAGATTAGTATAAATACTATATTTATTAAATATCTTTACAGTTTATTTAAATGTATTTACAGAACTATTCCTGCATAAGTTTATATTTCAGACATCCAATTCAGGTAATTGCGTCTTGGGTAAGACAAATAATGATAGTCTCAACAGAAAAAAGCAGCTCATTAGTATACACAGATTCAAATTTGCTTCATTATTTAGCCATCTTTGCCACAAACTACCTGCTACCAGTTAAAATTTTGACATGGACACTTCTTAGTTGAGAAGTTCGATTTTGCAAAGAATTTTTTTTTTTTTACAAATAGAATCCAAATATTTTCTGCTTCATATTTTTATAAGCAGATTTTAGTTGATATTGTAAAATTGGTTAAATGCAAAAAATGTGATAGTTTCCAGAGAAACTGAATGCTGTAGCTTCTACCAAAGATAGCTGGTATAAGGTGACAAGGAACCATGAACTCATCCACAAGTACATACGTTTACCATTCTAGCCAGTCTTGTTTACAATCTCCAACACTCAAAGCTGACTCAGCAAATTCCCACAATTCCTACCTTGTTACTAGATGTGGTGGGCTGGTGGTACTGAAGGTGGTTTCCATCTTCTGGCTACTGTTCTATCCAGAACAAAAGCAGCTGATAGGAGAGCATGCTCTCCTATCATGAAAAGCTTGAAATCAAGCTTCTAATCTAGACACAGCCCAACCCCCAGACATTCACACCTGGAATGGATTCTTCTGTTATTTAGTACCCATCAACCGTGTCAAGCGAGTACAGTAATTCAGGACACATAACTTGTTTTCTCCCCCCTCATTTCTTCTTTCAGTTTTTAAGAGTCTATGGACTCTACTGCATCCCCTTTTGGTAAGATTTTTGTTTTTGTGCGCAGGCAGCTTAAGTTCATAGGAAGAAATAAGGTTTTGATATGTTTAGAGTGCACATTTTAAAACAGAACAAAATAAAAATTTCAAGCATGTGATAAAAATATTGATTTTTATAATACAGTATTGCTTTATAAATATAGATGGAAAAGCTATAAATTTTACTGGTCTTTGGTGCATCCAGAGAGGGATAAATAATTTGCCATTTGTAATTTAGAAATCCAAATTTTCTCTTTTGTTATAAAAGTCCATTACATGAGGCAAGTGTGTGTGTATGCTCACATGTGCATACTGCTTGATTTAAAATACAATTAACACACATTGGGTTCAGAATCAGACCCACCAAGTGGTATAGCTGAGTCACACTCCATGGAAGCTTGGGTCTGTGACCTGGAAAATTCTACTATGGGTCCAACACAGCCTCTGACTACTGAGAGTAGGAGGAGAGTGACTTGTTAAGCAGCCCTCCAGCTAAAACCCAGCAGTCATCAAATTAAGTATATAACACAAAAAGGACAGGGAAGAAGAAAATGGAGAAAATATTTTACGTCACTAATCTAGAGGCCAGGTCTAAAGTCAATTCCACTGTGAAACCCAATTCTTGTCCCACTATTTTCAGTGTCACTGAAACAAACACACTGTCGATTTCTAACAATCATTTCTTTAAAAAGTAAGTTGATTAAATGAGTTATGTAAAACATCACCAATCTAGCTTACAAAGATTGTGTTTGATAGGTTAAATGGGGGCAGAGGAAACCAGTAACTTAACCAGCTCTGCTCTTGTAGGCATTGGAAAATGAATGCAAAATATATCCAGATCACAAATAAGGCTACAAACCTGTGACCAAAATTAATTAAAAACCCAAACAAAAGAGTTGTAGTTATCAGTCCTAATATAAATGTATTCCTTCCAACAAAACCCTTCTGGATGCAACTTCCTTTACTTTTTAAATACACAGAGACTGCAAATAATTTGTGCAAAATAAATACCCCACCACTTGCCACTCATGCTTCCATGTTTTCTCAGAGCATGATGACTTCTCCTTGTTTAAATATAGTCTCCCTCCACAACCTCCCCTCCCCATCTCCTTTACCAAAGAATTCTGTTTTGTCAAGTTAGGGTAGTTAAGGCATTCTGACATGTAATTAAAGGTGATTCAAAATAGATTTATCTAACATTATGCCAATTTAGGAATAGTAGATAAATTACTGAACGGCTTACAAATGAATAACTCATTCTTATTATAAATGAAATGCCTGTTACAAGCATGATGCATTGAAATATAGTAATGACATGTACATGGTACATGTTAAACAATTTTAAATAAAACAAAAGCTTGACAGTTACTCAAATATACAGTACAAATTCACAAAACAAAATCTTTTAAAACAAGTTGAGGTAACCTCAAACATAAGTTTTAATGCAATAAACCAGGGAGTCAGTATCTCCTTTAGAGAAAAAGACTTTCTATATTCTCAAGTAGATTCTCATCCAGTTTAATTGCATTCTCATCTATACACCAATGTTACCTGACTTATATATAAAACATGGCTTTAATTTAAGGATCTCTAAGTATATATATTTTTCTACCACCAAGTTAATGAAGGAAAAAAACTGACCCAAAAATATATATCTTTACAGCAGTCAACTTGTACACAAACCTTAAAAATAAATTTGAGCTTGCAGATAACGGGAAAACTGAATGTGGGGTAGTTTTATAAGGAAACTATACACTGCAAAATGGCTATTTGGAAACTGTAAACATTAAGCTTGATTCAGAAACCCCTAAATTTCTGTCGGGGGCAACTGCAAATGTCAGATCATCACTAGGAGTCTTGCTTGTGGAATTCTGTGCTGCTGCCATTGCACACGGTGCTCTTCCCACATGGACTCATGGGATTTGGTGCATGCTCTATTGAAAGCAAGGCTACTAATAAAAGGTCTAAGAGTAAGACTATGGGTAGGTAGCATGACCATTAAAAGCCAACAAAATTCAGTTACAGCTGTCCATTCTGAAGCCATTAGGCCTATGGGCCTAGTGCTACCATAGAGGGGCATCCTATCAGACAGCTGGGAGGAATTTTAGCCATAACATTAAATTTCTAGGCTTTGAGGAGTTTTAGTCTTGAGTAATATTTCCAATGAAAAATATTGGTATGGAGTCTCTCCCACCCCTCCGGGAGGTCAGGCCACAGCCTGTGATTTGGGCTAATCAACAAACTGCCAAAACTTTATTCATAGGAACAACACAAGCACTTTTTTTCTTAAAAGCATGACATATTTGCATCCATGGAAATAAAATGAATTTTTCTTCTAATCTGTAACAAAAAAGCTCCTGGGATCAAAATTTTATAGCCCAGAGCAATGTTTTAGAGCAGAATTATAAGCCCCTGAAAAATAGGAGTTTATAATGAAAACATAAAGCCACACCCAATCATCACACAAAGACTATGCCTGTGTAGTACACGTGTAACATTTCTTTTGATGAATAATGTATGCTTCTTGTAGATGTATCATTACGTACGATTTGTGTTAGACTTTTAAAATCCCTTTAGCACACTGTAATTTTGAATTTACTTTACCAACATTACTAATTTTCAATGCTTCAACTACTTTTGAAAAATAATAGCCACAGTGGCTTTGAACAGCTCCATCCCCATCATGGAAAGGACAATGAGAAATGAAGGCCAATCTTCAAATCTTGATTCTCTTCAATTGCTGCCAGCAGACATGAGCTAATCAATGACAATAGTGGTTCTCAACAAGGATCTCAAAGGGTCTCAAAAAGACAG